TGATTTTCGAGATTGGCCATTAAAATATTTTATTTAAATTATTCTTCTCCGATTTTTCCTTTGTAAAAACTTGTTTGAAATAAATATTGATGAGTATGACAAAAAAATTTTGCTATTGAAAAAAAAGCTTAATAATAGTAGTAGTAGTTGTTTAAAATAGAAATTTATCACTAGATAATTATTCTTTTGGATCACAATTTTCACTAAATCATTTACATCATGAACTTCCCTTACGCCATCCAGCTTCATCTTCATTAAGGTGAACACCAAACAACATTAATTTTTTTTCACTAACATAGCATGAAACCACGAGTTTTTTCTTCCCAACAAACGAGTCGTGGAGCCGCTAAGTGTGGCTCCATGAACCCAAAAACATCATGACCCTGATGGGGTCTTCCCCACTCCAGTTTCCCAGTTTTTGCTCTGTTGCTTTTGGAGTAGTAGATTCGACGGCAACCATGGCCGCCGCACATGCTTCCTTCAGTCTCTCTTCGATCGATGCCTTCGATTCACTGATCAAAGTATTATCACCGGAGAGGGAGAAATTTTGGGGTTTCATTCTTTTAAACTGCGATGCAGGCTAATTCTCTCAATCAATGGTTATTAGGCTAAGATCTTAGTAGATATAGAGATGGAACTTACATGGGTATATATAGTGCAAAAAAAGGTAGACAAGTGGAATGACCATTTCATATTGTGGCAAAAGCTTACTTTTTGCTTTTTATTTTGTCAAATTTAAATATTTTAACCCCTCACCTTATAATATAACATTTTTACCCCTTTACTTTACTAAATTTGTAAGTTTTAGTTCTTCACCTTATACTATAACACTTTTAACCCTTTACCTATTAAAATTAAAGAAAATAACCTTCATTTTATAACATTTTGTTAGTTATATTAGCTGATTATTAATTCTATTAACTTACTATTAGTTGACTGTCAATTGTCAAAAACTTTTTTTTTTAACTAATAAAGTTAACAGAACTAACTTTATAATATTTCATTAATTTTGTTAATTAACTATTAGTTGACTGTTAGTTGATAAAAATCTATTTCCAGCTAACAGAGTTAATAGTTAATATAAAATGAATGTTATTTTCTTCGATTTTAATAAGTAAAGAGCTAAAACTTACAAATTTAGTAAAGTTAGAGGTTAAAAGTGTCATAATATAAAATAAGGAATTAAAACCTTTAAACTTGGTAAAGTGAGAGGTTAAAAATAAATTTTTACCTCATATTGTGGGGATAGAATAGATTCCTTGTGCTTATGGATCACAGCTTGCCCAGATGGTATACAAGATTCTCTCTTTCATGCGTGTGAACCGTGTATCTGCTTTAGCCCTCTTTATTCCTTTCAATTTTGATGTAGTCATATTATTGTCACAATGAATTAACACATGTTGTAAGTTTTGTATATATGCCTTAAGAATTTTAAAAAGCAAAGGCATCTTTTTCTTCTAGATTTCACAAAACGTGTAATTGACTCTGTTGTTATGATGCTTCCCGAAACTCTTTTTGGTGTTGAAATGAGGTTAAGGTTTTGTTTGATAATATTTTTTTTGTGTTTTAGTTTTTAGTTTTTATATATTTTTATTATTTTTAAAATATATAAAATGTTAATTAAAATAAATATTAAATATATTTTATATATTTTGAGGATGTTAAAAAATTAAAAAAATTAATAACTAAAATTATAGACCAACATTCGTAAATTAAGTTTAATTGTTTTGGGTGGAATAAAAAAAAGAATATTTTAATAGTGATTAGTCATTGTCGGTTATATTAGAACCGACAATTTAAACACTCTTAGTAACTTAAAAGTTGATGACTCTATGGTTTGATTATTAAAAATAATTGAAGTTATAAATATTAATTGATAGAATAATTGATATCAATTTATAATGAACTTATAAGTTGATATTTCTAAATATTTGGAATTAGTTGTTTAAAAAATTATAAAGTAATAAAATGAACTTAATCAAACACATTCTAAATATCAACTTGGGCAAGTTTTTTTTTTGGTTTTACTCCAAAAAAATTTAATTTTCTTGAGAGACTTGGATTCAAAATGTTGCAATAGAGATAGTGGCCGGGGAACCGACAAAGACATTTGTTAAAAGTATTGGGCTGCAACTTGATCCATTCGACACAAGAAAAATACCCAATAAAAAAACTTTTGGGCCGAAATAAAAATGTCCACTTAACAGTTAACATGGACACCATCACTTCATAGGTCCAAATGACAAGGTGAAGGAGAAACTTGCCTCTTCGGCCCAAAGATATCTCGTCCCAAATAAAGAGCTTTGTGACACCTGACCTCCAATTCTTGGGGTTTAATTCAGGTCACCGCTCCACCCCTAATTAATTCCATAAACAGAATGTCTGCCATTCAGAGCTAACAAATCTCACTTGAGTATGAGATTTCTAACTTTGATGTTTATTATTGCAAGAGTGGGCCCGAAAAAAAAAGTTTTTTTTTTTTTTTTGGTTTAATATGATTAATGTGTTTTCAAACTAGTATATTTAGGCATTTTTAGGTGATCTTGAAGGATAGAAGAAAGTTAGCTAAGAGATTAGGTAAATTACTATTTTATTACCTTGGTCTATTTTTTTAAGGTTAGTCCAACTAGAATGCTTGTTTCTTTATTTAATTTTAAAAATAATATTTAATTTTTTTGAATAAATAAATCATATCCCCGTGATTCATTATAAATTCGTTAATTTTAGTATGAAATGAAAATAAGGGTTGGTTAACTAAAGCTCGAATTTTATAGGAAATTAAAATAACAAAAAATAGAATATAGTTTCTAGAGAATACTTTAACCATATCGTGGGTAATGTATATGTCTTTGACCAAATTAAAATGATAAACTTAGTTTATATTGCGTGTGAGTTGGTAAAGATGATGGTAAAACTAACCAAAAAGTTAAAAAAGAAAAAAAGAAAAAAAGAAAAAAAACCGAATCCTTGGAAACAACAGCCACAAGGACTAAAGCATGACCGGAACAAAGGACCAAAAATTCTGCACTTTCTCTGGGTGGTTGGTCTCAGTCAAAATACCCATTCATCATCTGCATACGGTGGGATAGGGGGTCCTCTGATTTGTAGGTGGGCATTTCTCCTCTGTTTTACCTAAAAATCTCACCTACAAACAGGTAATAATCAAGCAATGCCAATTTAATCATCTCCCTGGTAGGTTTTTATAATTCCTTTCCTAGTGCCT